ACCCGAGAGCCCTTCAGATTAGAATGGAAAACCTCAACAATCCAGTGTCTGATATTTTTCAAACCATGGATATTGAAGGAAAACAGTGAACAGAGATCAATTGCTGTATTATCATTTACGAGCACTAGGGAGACGAAATGTATTCTTTAAAGGGGAGCGGAGCTTGGATACCAGCCGTGGCCTATGGCGGGGACTGAATACGTAGGATCAACCCAGGCATGTTAATTGCCACCATCTAATCATTGAACGACAGTATAATCAGTTTCAACCAATTCCCATGACAAACAAAGATCTGAATAGAACTCACCGTTTGTAACAAACATGGATGTTATCGATTTGGGAGATCATTATTGGCCACAGATGGGGTGGAATATCGACATATTGTCCTTTGCAGTGGGGCAATTCATTTGTTTGGATGACTATATCCCAAGCGCATCGAGGCATCCCGTAACAATAGTGCCGTATGTAGTATATTAGCCACTATTCCAGGAAGGAGCAGGTGAGGGTGAATACGACTGTGAAGTTCAGAATAAAAGACCCGGTAATCCCATACTTGGTTCCTAAAAGCGAAGGTTCTGTGATTACCGATTGAAATGATAATGTAGCCGTTGGACTGGATGGCGTACATGATGGTTGGGAAGAAAGAAAGATCATTGTAGGAGGGTGCTGTATAAGAAGGGAATGCACCATCTTCCCAGGTGATTGAACTAATAGACGCCCTCCGTTATGACTGTCAGGTACATTGAATATCCCTTGATTCGGCGCATGAGTGAACACATGCCCGTACTCGGCCTTCTAGGTCTTAGGACTGACTTGCTCGTACTTTCTGTTACTTTCTTTATTCTTCATACTGATGCTAGAATATTACAGAATATTGTAGAACAATTCTGACTTAGGAACTCTCAGCTCATTTTAGGGCTTTCCGACACCAATGTGAAGACTACGCTTAGCGCTTGTCGTCACTAACAGCCCGTAATAGCCTCACACTCACAGGCTTTCTATATCGGTAATTTCTTCACGCTTTCCAATTTCTTTTGTTTTTAAAACTGGACCTCTCAGGTCTCCTCACGAATCCTCGTTGGAATCCATTATTTTCCCTAACGACACACATTCTTTCTAATCATTCTTACCTCGGTTCGATCACCACTCCTCGCCTCGTGTTCACATAGCCGGATTTGATCGTCTCTGCTTCATACATATGACAGAGGATGACGAAATCACAGGGATACCATTATAGCATGCTGATAAATGTGCTGTGTTCATGTGCGGTGTAAACGTAAACCTTAAAGAACTGTGCGCACGCAAGGGAGATAGCCGAACCTAGACCGAACCGGACCCCGGTCAGACCAGGAGATGCGAGCAGGATGAAATCTGTCAACGCGCATATAGTCAGCTTGATATTGTGACAACGACATACCACGTACTAGAAATTCATAGCATTCAATTTCCTCCTTCCTCCGTTTCAAATAACCAAGCCTATCTTGAGTCGGACGTAGAAATCTCTCTGTTGAGAGGTCCCTCAGTCTCTCAGTCCTTCCCCGGCTGGCAGGTATGCTCCATCCAAGTGTAGTGGAAGCGTATCAATGCTCACGATGTTGAAATAAGTTGGCAGGGCAGTTTGCAAAGATTGCGTCGAGGGTCGGTGTGCGGAGAGTGATGGCAGGTCAAGGCACGTGGAAAACGCGTTACTGACTGTCACGCATAACGCGATGTCTCCTTTCTGCCCACGACCACCACGTCTCTAAGCGACGGTCTTCCAGTTCTGATGCGTCTTTTTTCACTCCGTCTTCTCTTGGATGATTGGCGCTGTGAATCCAGTCATGTCTTGGTCTAAAATGCTTAGCAATGGTGAACACTGTTGGATCTTCCTTTTCCGGCACGGTCCAGAACGAGGTGAGTTCTCAGCCCTATTGGTGTTATACCGTGTCCAATGTTTTCATCACAGACCTTGTGAAGAAAACGTTTGGCTCTCGTCCCGTCACGTAGGCTTCGTCTTCCTATCGGCGCGACGATTGACTTCAAAGTCAACTGCCGTCTTCACTAGCACTCTTGCACAATTGCGCATATGCATTATCCTCGAAGCCAACCAGCACCGGCGCCGAATACCTCTAGCTTCGCCCTACGCGGTGAAATCATGCATGGTACCGGGAAGTGATAACGAACCTGCGAGTGCTAGCTTCGAGACCAGTGGGCTTTTATAGCTCGAACTGCGTTTGATGTTCTAGCGGGACGTGTGGTGGTGGGAGGCGGACGCGATGTTGTGCTAGCCCTTTAAGTACGTATTCTCTGATTATTCGCACTCTCGCTCACATCGTCATAGATGTATGTATGACGTGCCCCGCAACAGTCGCCATTTCTCCCACGACGATGTGCATGTCCTTCTCACGCGTCCTTGCACACCGACGTTCGATGATGCCCCGACTGTTCTATCCTAGAATAACCACGGAAGCTATCATTGGCATGTTCTGAATACGTGTTCGTCAATATCTCTCACTTCACGTCTTCATGAAAATGCTTGTAGATCACAATCTCGTCAAAGATACTATTCTGGATTTTGTCTTCGGAAAATATACCTTTCGCCACGACCTGCCACGGATATTATTGTCCAACTTCAGACTGGTAATGTCAGTCTCCAAATCCATTCATCATTCTTCCATTCATGTAAAGATAGCTCGCAGGTTAAACGCCCGTCGTGGTCCACATCGAGGCCACATTCATCTTCCTCTTGTCGAACTGGAGGTGCGATATATCTCCATAGCCGTTAATTCCACAAACGAGTGGTGGTGGTGCGTTTATCCCCTCCAGTGTGTCGGAGACGTGAAAAATGAGGAATTTGTTCTCTTCGTACAGGCTAGAAGGGACGAGCGGAGGTAAACGGCTTAATCGTCTTGTCGGGCTTGTTACTCATGACGATGTTTAGCTTCAGGTTGACGTGGAGCAGAGTGTACTTTATTCCGTACGCTGTAGCACCTTGGCGTATAGCTAGCTAGGATTGTATCAATGCAAGTACCGTAAGGTGATGCCATATGGATTTTTCCACCAGCGGGTTATGGCTTGGTGGTAGGCAACGTAATGAGTAGGTACTGAGTCGGGATTCAATTCCCCATATTCAAATCAACGATTGCACCAGGAATTTTATTGCAAGCTACGTGTTGTTCTACTTAAAGGTTACCCAAATCGTCCTTGGTGAAACCGGCCGGATCTCGGTCTCTAGTGATTCTTTTTAATCTCTTTGGGCGCTGAGGTGAGGAACAGACGTTCTTTCTTCGTAGTATTTGGACATGGGTGGTGTATCGGGAAACACCACTAGCGATGGTTCGATTCCTCGTGTCTAGCTGATGTCGATGCCACGACCTTTTTCCCATCGATGCTAGATATTACATGTGGTATTTCTTGGGCCGAAGATCATCTGGCTGTTAAGAATCCGGGTATTCGAGTTAATACACGAGCTGATGAATACTTAAGTAAAACCAAAGCCATAAGCAAGTACGTCTGTAAAGCGAGTTCTAACCACCAAAAGGGATCCATAAGGGTGCTAACAGTTGTAGATGTAGTTAACGAGGTCATCAGCAAGCGCTAGACGTAACTGGTGAGGTTTCCGACAAACACTATGCGTAACCGATCAGAATGGACGTCTGAATTTATGTAAAATCAGAGTAAGAATCCTAATAGAAGGAAAATATGTACATACTACTAGTTCACGGCCATGGTGATCAAGGCCAGAAATCAATGATCACTACAGTCTTCACTGCTTCGGGAAGCCTCGCCAGATTGATCCTAGCCCAGAGAGTCACTCACTGCTGAGTAAGGGAGATGACACAAAGGTCAGTCTTTACGCCAACGAGGAGGTAACTTCTCCATGACAGGGACTAGGATCCAGATATCGGTGAAAGGGTTGGATATGATACCACATCTCGGCATCATAGTGGGGTCAGATTCGGTTCGTGTCGTCAAGGAGATGTAACGAACAAAGATGCGATGGGAGCTAGAAGACTCCTGCTAAGAGACGTGGTGGTCAGCGGAAGAAAGGTGAGTGTCACGTTACGCATTACGCGTTGCACCAACTCTTTGATCAGCATCTGGAAATGGCAGATTACTAGCATTTTCCCTCGGTGAACACTTCTCTGTTCGTCATAAAATGATGCCCAAACACGTACATACCAAGAGAATAGATTAAGAGAGAACAGCATCTACGGCACATACAACTCGAGTCTCAAGTGGAGTTGAATAAAAGGGTTTGTCGAATTCATATATTAGGGTGTAGGGATTCGAACTCTGAGCAACCGAATGTCAAGCACCCCGCTCAGCCACATCCTTGTGAAGAATCATTATATATCTCAAACTAAAGAGGATTGCGCATAAGCTAGGAAGGGAAAAAAATTGGTATTGATGCTGCCCATCTATCGTACAATGTAGATGTAAGTTGGATGTAAGGAATCAAATGTCGACAACAAGGCAACAGGAGCATATCCCCAGAACAATGGACAGGAGAAAGGCTAGTTACATGTCTCGATACAAGCTTGTCAATACAGTCCATCGAATCATATATGCTCTATGCTGCGCTAACCTGGAGCTACAATTCATCATGAATAATTGGGCTAGCCAAGACAATAAATTTACTCACTTTCACCCATTCTCAATTGCATTTATTACTAACCTTACAGCTGTTGAGGTCTAACGAAAAATTGCCATAAATGCGAAATAAAAACTTAAATTTTCCACGTTGTTATCAGACACATTATGTTTCAGGTTGGCTTGTTGAAACTGACATTATTCCCTGCCTTATTGTGTTAAATATAATCCAGCCATGTCCGTATAATGAAAATTGTCGTTCCAGGCTTGTTTCTTATCACGGACTATAAGGGTTGCTCGGAAATTATAGCATTGTAGCACCATAATATGTACATATACCTGAATTCGGACTTTTCCGACATAAGTATTATACAAGGATCAACCTGTTGCAGCACAAGGTTGCAGGCCATGCTGCTTCCTGACCTTATTTAGTAACGGTCATAAAAGCTAATCATATTTCAAAATGCCAGTGACAAACAAGATGCTACATCGAACTCACTCGGAAGCCTCCGGAGCAGAGACATTGATGTTATCGATCTTGCCGATAATTGCCGACCACAAGTTTTGTGGAATATTGACATATCTTCCGGCGCAGATGGCTAAGTCATTGGTTTGAATCGTTATTCCATCTCTAGGAGTTCCCGGAAAATGGCTGATTATGGTATTGATTAACGCCTGTACCAGAAGGGAGCGAGTGAGGGTGGATACAATCGCGAACTTCAGAACAACAGACCTTATATTTGGATACGTTAGCCCTTAAAGCGAAAACGCTCTTTTCATCCTTTGTAATGACGATGAACTGTTTGGACTTTGTAGTGGACATGATGGTTGGGAAGAAAGAAGGGGCATTGTGAGAGTCTGATTTATAAGAACGGCATGCGGCATATTTACCAGGTGATTGAACTGATAAGCGCCTACCGTAATAATCAGGGTGAACGAGGACACATGCAGGAAGCGAGGCTGTTGTTGTCGTTTCACATCTCCTTGCACTCAAACTTTCGATATGGCTCCTAGATTTCGTGTGATTCCTATATAAGACCCAGCATGGAAAACCCCATTCACAGATTCTGTGCAGATCCTCTCTGACCTCCCGTACCATCATAATGGTGATGGATCTTGACCATCATTAAACTTGATATTTGTTGTCCTGCATTTCCTCATAGGAAAACATACGTCTGGCAGATGTTCCTATCATATGACAGACAGTAGATGCCAACTCACTGCAGGTAAAGTCCATCTCTACATTCGTTCATCCCCCTTCCACTCACGTAAATCCAGCTCTCAGGTTCAACGTTAAACTTGCATCATGATCTACATATAACCAATCGTCTTTGTCTGGTCGTACTGAGAGTGCGGTACTTTTGTACAGCTGCTGATGTGATTGAATGGTGATGCATCCATCTCAGGGGTATGTCAGATGTGACATGTTTGCAAGGGTACCTAACGAATTGATATATCAAAATGTGTATCTTATACATTGTCATGATATATCAATGCACTGTACCTACCATGACGGTGTGATATATCAACTACTGGTGGCCTGATGTGTACGCCCATCATTGACCCCCCCTAGCTACTCACCGACGTGTCTTCTGAAGCCCAAAATAACACCGTGTGCGCGCCATGACGATTCCGTGTCCATGTTGCCATCAGAAGCCTTGTCTGCTTTCGTACGACCTTTGGAAGCAGATATTTCCGGATTGTTGTTCTTCATGTTATATTGACAAAATACAAGGGAAGCAATGACAGTTGAAATGTATTGCAAAGATACTAGTTATATACAATCACAGGAGGTCAGTAAGTAGTTCGAGGTGATGACATGGAAACCGGAATCAAAATGGGCACCACTCCTGCAGAAGCATCCTAGCCCACTGTTCAGACAAATACTTTCCTGGTGTTCGCGTTCTTCAGGCGCAAAGTTTAGAGGCATCAAAATAGACCATCATAGCCTACCATACATATTCTTGCAGGTGGGGATAGATGCGATGCCACCAAAGCAGCATATTAATAGGATTCATTTAATTTCACTAGGTTGACATCCAGTTAGTGACCCGGGGCAAACATAGCATGGAATCTGCAGCAGGGGTCATCTCAAATATCTATCAGCAGGATACATCATATGCACCTTCTCCATGAACCTCGTTAACAGCCTGCTCTCATTTCGAGTCCAAAAAATTGTGGCTACTATCATTGTAGTATCGCTGGGCAAGTGATATGCCCCTGCCTGGCGTACACCACTGAAAACGCATATAAAAGTGTATTTTTCCAATACACAAACTATTATACATGATTGCACAAGAAGGAAAGTCTGTGTAAGGTAACATGTAAGCACAGCAAGGTTGTTCCAGTGGGACTTAGCCAGGAAGCGCGTGAGGCTTGGGCAATGGGCCTGGTGACCCAATGACTCAGCCCAAGTGACCGAAGGTCCAGGCAGGTCGACGCACATGGTGCCAGCTGAACCGGCATCCCAGCATGATAGCCAATTGATGGCACTGGTCCAAAAGCAAACAAGAAAGATTGCATACACTGTTACTTACCTGGTAGCCCCCTTAGTCTCCCAGACTAGTGGTGGACTTGCCAGGCAGGCAAGAAACATGACTTGTGGAACCAGGGGCTCTGCCCTGGCCCAGAAAAGTAATCAGAAATCATGCACCAGGTCACCAGGCTGTGGCAAAAGGTCATGATTGGTTTACCTGGTAGCTGGGATATGAGCTCATATCCACCTGGCTCACTCAGCCAGAGTATTTGTCAGTACCTGGCAGGATTGGAAATATAGATAGAGTAGAATAGTATAAATACACACCTATATTAGTGGGAGGTTGTAACGCACTAACTTGGATTGTACAACGTTTACCTCCAAACTGTCACTCACGTTCAGTGATTCAGTGTGATGAAGGGTGTTGCAATCGCTAGGTCAGAAATGATAGTCCTTAGTCTTGGAAGCAGGGAGTTTCTGCATGAAAAGTTAGGAGTGTATAACTTTAGCCGAAGCTGGGGTGTAAGACCACAGCAAGGCTCAACTAAATACATTGCTGTATTTACTAGTATGTACTGTCCTAATGCATCGCTGTCTTCTGTATCGTATGGCACTTGGTATAGGAGAAGTGCTCATGCGAGTAAGAAGACTAGTGTCCATATGGTGCTTGATATGGTAGAAGCACATTAGTGCATCAGAAGACTAGCACCCATGTGGTGCTATCTTCTGAGGAGTGTATGTGGCGTCCTATCCATCCTGGGGTGTGACTGGTGTCGTCCCACAAAGCGTGATGGAATATCAAGGGTGAGGCCCATAGAAGTATGATTGGATCTATGGGCCATCAAACAGATCATGCATGTGAGCAGTGGAAACAAACTGATCCATGGACCAATCAGGTAGGACTGATGGTTGTGTTGTGGCAATGCTCTGGTGATGCGGTGTGAGTGTGATGATGTGAGAAGCACTCCTGCGAGTAAGAAGGGTAGTGTCCATATGGTGCTACCTCCCATGATGTATGGCAGCAGAGCCCATGACTGAGTCCCAGTGATGTGGTCCATGGTGCAAGGTAATGAGCAGTGTGACCAGGCAGGTCATGAATGATGCGGATCAGGTACGAGGAATAATGATGAGAGTGGAATGATGAGTTGCCCAGATAAGATAAGATAGGCAAAAAATAGGGGTGAATTCATGACAGAGGTCAGGTTTCTGGCCCCTGGAATGCTACCAAGCAATTAGTATGGGTTTATTGGCTAAGAGCTTCAAGTCATAGACTCACCTGGAATAGTATTGAAGTGACCTGGTCACGTTTTGTGTGCAAGAACTGTTCAGAAAGCAATCAGTTAAGCAAGATACAGACAGACAGCCAGAAAAGACTGTTCAGAATTTGTATTAGTACCAGTAAAGCTGCAACCAGGCAGTTAGTATGCATTCAGGAATCTGCACCAGGTGGCCTGTTAGTGTCAGATTGTGTTCAGTAACACAGAACGTACAGATTTGTTAGCTTCAGAGTATTTCAATCATATAAATATATATTCTATTGCAACCTGGAACCTTTATTACAGTACAAGTGTTCTACCAGGTGTATCTTACCCCTTCAAACCACATTTGTTGAGTGTGTGTGTTTGTGTTTTGTGGTTAGTGCATTTCACTTGCATATACAGTCACTACCTTTCACAAGTGTATGTCCTTCAATGGATTCCCAAAAGGGTGCAGTCATCACAGTTGTCATCAGCCATCAGGGTCCTGATCACCATCCTGCCAACCTGCTCATCCCCTCCTGCATCCCCACATCTCCCCTGCAACTCCTCCTTCCATGCAAAGCCTGCCTCAGATCCTACAATGGCCCTGCATCAGAGTATGATGCCCTACCCCCCACATTACACTCAGCATCAATGTATTCATTGTCATCATTATCATTCATTTGCAGGCAAAGTGGTGGCCATACAACTTTGATGTCATGCACTTTCATCATGCCATCGAGGTCTCCATCGATGCCTAAAAGGGCAAAGTCATCATCATCATCCCTCATTGGTGGCCTGACCTTGTCTTGCTGTCTCGACGTCTCATGACCTCTGGCATCTCCACAGGTCCTACCATGGTCTTCTGTCATATTCCACCCTTCTCCACCCTTCCTAATGTCATCAGTGTCATCATGCTTGTCATCATCATCCCTGTGGTTGGAAATGCTTTCCATGGATAGATGGTGGCAGATCCAGGGTGGAGAAGACCTAAAAAAGTATAACAATCATTGAAATAAATAAAATATACCATCAATATGCAAATTGAACTTGATTTGCATGCAACACAGGTGTAGTGGTAGGAGGAGAGGGACAAAAAAGATGCTGCACAGCCACTCAATCACTGTATGGATTTATGGTCCAGGGCTGTATGCATGGAACAGAAAGAAAACAATCACATCTGCTGCTCATATGAAATACCTTGAGGCTCTAAAAATGATAGGAATATGATCCTGTATGCATTGTTTACCTAAATATAAAATTTTGAGCCCACAAGCATCTGACCACATATTCATTTTTGAAGATAGCATTTAGCATAATTCACTAATGAGGTACACTCTCAAGTAATCATGTCGTCTCACTGTCTAGCACATTGGTGCCACTGTTTTTATATCCTGGCTATTATAAACATAGAATATCAAAATAGAATCTGTTTTTTGCTGCTTAGAGGCTGGTGTAATGAAGAATGGAGTTTTTATCAGGCCAAAGGATCCTCCTGTGGAGGTCGGAATCATATAGCACATAATTTGTGCCAGATCCTATGACATCTTCTGTGCTGGATGAGTGTGGATATAATACTAGGTGACTCTGGTACAGAATTAACATACTTCTAGGACTGGTCAAGGTCCCAATGCAATGCAAATGAGTATTTATCAGGTCATGATTTGTCCATGTAACTGTATTCTTGCCTGTTCACATCAAAGATGAGCCCCATTTTACCCCTAGACATTCTGAAATGCTTGATGAATACATTTATTGTAAGAAAATCTCAGACAAGAGGATGAGATGTAGAGCAATGAGAATAAAATTGCAATAAGACTGTATTGCCATGGCTGAATCAAGGAGTGTCTGGCAAACTCTGAAACAGGTTGAAGTGCTAGTTTTCCATCCTTGTATTCATTGTATGACAATTATTATGTCTAAGTAAGCATATAATAAAGTATATACAGAGAGATCAATCACAAAGATTCTAATTATTACTATTTTGCACCTATCTTATCTTAACGACTCCATCATAATCCTCATATGCTAATATTCTGGTCTTGATCGCACAGAAACATGCTAGTACCACATGTTCCACATGCTGCTACAGACTCTTGTACTATACTTAGAATACCCAAAGTTGTATATAAGTAGCATGACTGCAGGTCTTAAACCTCAGTCTTGAACTAAAGTTTATTCACCTGATAACTTGGTTAGAACTCACTCTCAACACTAAGCATGCATGCTCCCTGAGAACAAACCTGCGAGCAACTAATATGTGCCTGACTGAAGTGCGAGTCACATGTAGTTGTTTGATCTTATTTGTTCAATCAGTCGCTAACAATTAGTTCGAGACTTTCCTAACTCTTCACCAACATTGACATTGACGATGACGAACAAATGAACCCTATCGAACAAACTATCACCGAGTTCATTGGGCTACAAGGCTTTATTGCCCTAGCCTACCTAACCTTCCTATATGGCTATGAATACTGACAACACAGGGAAACTATCCCCACCGAGACTGCCATCGAGGTGAACGAAAGACAGGACTCACCCTCTCCCCCCTCTTACAATGGATCCAGCAAGGATTTCCCAATCAGATTCATCATCCTCTCAGATGACGAGTCTGACACCGACATGGGAGGATGGGCCACACCAGAAAGCTCAATCAATATGCTCGAAAACGAGCCAGGATGGCTCAAGCAAAGGAGGATGGGTGAACATATTCTCCCTCCCATTACCGAAGAAGAGGAAGGGCAAGGAGAAAGCTGAAGCATCTTGCCCACCTCCACCAAAAACTCGGCTGCCTTCTCTGGCTATGATTCCAATGGAAACTGCATCTATCAAAGAGGACTTAGATATCATCTGGGAGAAGGAGGAGAGGCTGAAGATGGAGTTGGAAGCAGTAGCAATGAGGAAGGAGGAACTGAGGAGGAGGACTGCCCCAGTGAAGGGTGGTATGCAGGGCTACCTAGCAGGATACCAGGGCCACTCAGCAACTGGTCCCCACCAAGGCTTGACTCCAGGGGTGGAACTTGGCACTGGCACTATCAAGCCAGAAACAGAACCCCGACCCTCTCCAAGCTCGAGTCATACTTTGTGCCCAGCCAAGGAACAGACACAGCCGTACTCATCGATGACCGAGCAGAGGCAGTCACCACTGAGCTCGATGGATGTGGACCCACCTACGATGCCAATGCCAGCTGTGATGTATGCAGACAAGTACAGGACTTCACCGATGCCCAGCTCATGGCAGAAGGAATCGAGCCACCCTCGTCTGTCATCCTGTACATCATCTATCCGCTCACAGCTGAGCACCCACTCACCGCCCCAGTCCCATTCATCACCCCATGGGTCTGGGACAGGCCCCAAAGGCCAGACTTTGAGCAGGTCATCAGAAGGGTCGAAGAGTGGGCCTGAATCATATGAAACTGGAACTGGGTTGTTACCAGAAGTACCAAACCCTTTGAACAAGTCTGACCAGTTGGACTTAGAAGAAGGAGAAATTTACGAGAAGCATGGCAGAGGGCCACCTTCGATTTGGACAACCAACACCGACAGGGCAAGTATAGCGAAGACAACATGATCCCGGAATTTGTGGAAGGATCTAGCTCGGGAGCCTACTAAGGCCAAGTTAGAAGTAATGATGTACTTAGAGATGCTGCAGTGGACAGAAGAGAAAATACAGTGAGAGATTTTGTGGAATGAATCCGATCAGGGAAGATACTTCTGAGAGATGGAATGAACCCAGACCGGAGCTGAGGCCCTATATCAGGAAGCAATCTATCACACCAACACCCTATGGAATAGGGTCCACCCAGATGACTACATAGACCTGGGAAAGCAGTACCAGGTACTGGAAGAGTCTGATGGAAGTACCGTGGACTTAACCTATCTCATGAACCTACAAAGGACTGGATATGTAGATCCCAGTCAGCTCGTCACAGGAGCAGGGACCCCTGGATCACAAGGGGCAAACCCCACAGCACCACCTGCAGCCCTGGCTGCACCAGCAGCACCCTTGACACCCCATCATGATCCCCAGTTATGATCGCTACCCTGACCAGGAGCCATACCCATTCCCCCTAACCCCATACAACCTCCAACAAGACCACCACCAAACATTGTAGGAATGGCAAATAGCAACCTGTGGGCATTAGTAAAGCCCCAACTCACAGCAGTCCCCAACAAATTCAAAAGGGAATCTACAGATATAACCAGGTTCTTCAACCAATGTGAGGACTACTTCACGGTGTTTCCACAACAGTTCACCATGAACTTGAGCAGATTCAGTCCTAACCGCATCATGTTCTGCACATTCCTATTGGCTGACAAAGCCCTCCATTGGTGGAACTACATCAGAGATGACTATTACAATCAGAATTGTGATCACCTGTGGTATCCTTTGTACCTGGTGATGAGCCTAAACTTCCATGGCAATGGCAAAAACTAAAACTCTAGAGGAGTTCATGGCAAATGGCATGTAGCGGCAATAAAGGCTTTGTTGTTGTGTGAGTGTTTCAGTGCACCTCTGTGTGATGAATTCCTCAAGAATGCAAGTATACACTGCGACTTTTCAGTCAGCGGAGCAGTACCCTTAACGATCGAGTACTAGAAAGCATTGGCTGTAAGCCAGGAAGGGTCTCGATGTATGAGAAGGAATGGAATCCAGTATAACTGGGAATACCAGCAAACCGTGAATGAAGCGATGGCAATTAACTAGTAAAAGCCATGGGCAGAATTGGTGGAATTAATGGAAATACCATCAAAGAGAAATACCATTGGCAAGATAACAAATACCGTGATGGCAAGAGACGAAGACTGTAGTCAAGAAACTGGCAGTAAAATGAAGAGAGACTGGCTGGCAGAAATATGAAAGGGAACTAGTGGTGGCAAATGATGAACAGAACTGAGCAATGATGAAACTAAAACTGGGCTGAGGTTAACTGCGGTAAAATGAAACTGATACTGATCCTGAGTCTACACAGAGACTATCCTATACTGAAACTGACAGCAAGATAACAAATACTGTGACTGAAGGTCCTATACTGAAACTGTTGACCGAAATTCCATGACAGACACTGCTGGCAGCAATAATGATCCTAATCTGTATCCACACAGGGACATAACTGTACTGAGCTGAACTGGGGTGAAATGATGGTGACGTAGAAAGTGAAGACTGGTAAAACAATGCTGGCTGGTGAAAGTGAAATGATGCTGGCAGAATAAAAGATAAAAGTGAGTTGTGGACACGAAATTCCATGTATTGGCGCAATATGAGTGTACACCAATACTGTTAGAAGAAAAGCCATGACAGAGAGTATAACTTGGAGTGACTATGCTGTTATTGTCTGTCTCCTAGTGAGTACAAGCAGTGATGGTGGTCGATAATGTGTGCGATAACTAGTGTCCAGTAACTTGTGTCCTTTTTGCAACTACTACTACACTAGCTTTTATACTACAAGTCCGGAATAATTTTAGAATACTTGAAACAAGTCCTTAGTAAGTCCTTAGTACATAGATTGGTAAGAAATGATACAAAATGTGTGCTCCCAGAGTTCTAAAGTAACAGCACCCACACGGTTTTACCACGTATAGACTTAGTGATCAGAAAGAATTCCGCTGACATATGGACTCTTGGGCTGCTGTGATCCTGCAGCAAAGTACACTGAAGGTAGTACACTGAAGTAGATGTGTGCAGCATTTGTCTTGGCATTGTAACAGCCTTAGTAAAGCTGGTGGAAAGGTCACAGTGTTAAGTCTTTTGCTATGAAATAGGTACTTTGGTGGCAGCATTCTATTAAGTGATGCTTGATGCTGATGTCAGCAAGGGCTGTGCTGAGTGATCAATGATGGTCCTAATTCTGTGAGATCTGCAATCAGGTGCCTGGTGGCAATAAGGAAGTGGTGCATATTGATGTGGAATATGAGTTGGGAAGGATATTTGGCAGTAAAAGTGGGTATTGCCATGATTGCAATCATTGACTTAGTGAAAGTCCACTAAGTGGACAAGGCATTTATTATAATGCTAAAATCCACAAATTCTGAGTGTACAGAGCCTTGAGGCTCATCACCAGTCTTCAAGCAGATGGTGGAAGACCAATTTCAAACAGATGCCGAAGTAGAACTGAAGCTTCAAGAATTCAAATGCTTGAAGCAGTCCAATTATAAATCAGCTAAATACTTCTTCCGAGAATTTGAGCAACTGGCAAAGGAATCCGGAAAGCAGCACAATGAGGAATATATGATTGAAATCCTCAAACCCGCTATCCGGAAAAATGTAAAAATGGCCATCCATGCCACAGGAACAGCCTTACCCTGCACCTATGCCAAATGGAAGTTCTGGGTGGAGCAGATGGATTACAACTACTGAGTCAGACTAGCAGAAGATGCTGGAAGGATCCCAGGGAATCAGGGGCAACAATTGAAAGGAACAGGAAAAGCTGGAAGCTCCAGGAATTCCCAAGGGGATAAGAAGACAGGAACTGGAACTATGTATGGAGGAAAAGGACAGCTGATGGAGATAGATCGACTCAGAAAGGAACATCAGTGCTTCCGCTGTGGGCATAAAGGACACCGCAAGCAGGACAACAAGTGCCCAAAGGATGAAAGCACTTGGCTTGTCAAGCACCAGCCCAAGTTCTCTCAAGCCAAGGTCCACACCATGTATCAACAAGTACTGAAGGAAGAGGAAGAGGAATCTACATTGAAAATCGAGGAGGTAAAAGATGAGCTGGCAGCATAAGCGACAAACACTTGCCGGCTAAGGACTTAATTTCACTTGGTGGTGTGTCTCAAAATACCATGGGTCAGACTGATGATTGTTCTGTAGTATCTACACCCAATATAACCGATTTGACGCATTCCACCAAGTCCAAAATTAATCAGTTGCAGCATACAAAAGGTGTACAGGGGATTACCACTGCTGGCACCAGCAATGAACCCCAAACAAGATCCTTGGCCACTGGTGATGCTCCCAAGCAAACACCAGGTGGCAGGATGAGCAGGATCAACATCACTCCATCGAGGGCAGATGATGGTGCAGGGAACGTAGGAGGAGCAGCTGAGTCGATGAACGGTGGGGACCCCTCCCACTGCACAGGCATGGGAACACAGAATGCGCCAGACAACAGTGTAGAGCTCCACCTGGAGGCAACATGTACATGCTGGCAATGAGCAACCAGCTGCCCTCATTGTGGAATAGAGCCGCAAAAGGGAGTGCAACTCCCCAGCAAGCCATTAGCTGACCTGCAAGCAGGAGTCAAGATGACTGGGCCTGAACCCCCATATCAGGTGCACCTACCACCTTCTACACATAATGGCACCGAGGGCTTGTGTCCCTCGGTGGGAGGGTCAGAGGGACCATTATGTGCATTCAATAAAAATAAAAAATCCATAACCATTGAAGAAGTGCCAGATGAGGAAGACAACTATAGTTACCAACAAAGCCTCCAAAAACCAGGGGAAGACCCTGCAGCACATGCAGTAGAGTACCCTGAGGATTATGAAGTAACAGAACTAGAAGAAGAGTTCTATGATGACAAGTGGGACTGAGGATGGTTAAAACCCCACAGTGCAGAGTGGGTACACCGTAAAATATGACAAGAAAAAACTATGGAAGGAAAATTGGCAACTCTTCACATGTGGGTGCATCCATGCCAACTGGTCGAAGTAGACGAAGACCTGATTGTAGACCTACAAGGGTCTTCAAAAGAGTCCTATCGACAGCAGGAGCAGTGCTTACAAAACATGCAGGACCTCAGGGTCCCACCACAATACATCAGAGGTGGCAAGGGAAGGAGTGTCAACATTCATGTCCAACTAGAAACCTTGGACACTAGCAAAGTATTACAACTTTACCCCTATTTTCCTTATCTTATCTTATCCTTATCTCTCAGAACCCCAGACCTACCTATCTTATCTTTCAGACCTATGATATTCCACCAGCACACTCTTTACCTGTTTATCCAGTTGCCATCACCCCAGTCCACAGCTGCCATATCCTGGATGACCAATGACCCACATGGACCATCATGCTTCTCTTGATGGCATCATGCTTCTTAGTAGTCAGACAGGAGTTGACCGCTAGTCGAGGGCGGTCTACAGGATGCAGCCTATTCAGATGGAGTCTCGTGCAGATACAGGTGACATGTGCTCTTTACTCTCATTCGTCGGGAGTACATTTCTTTTAGTGTCCTCACTTACCATTTGTTGAAAGGCGCACTTCTCGCTACACGTTGATATGCCTGGTATCAGGCTACCCATAGATTTTGCGATTTTACATCAGTTTATGCAATCTACAAGCGGTACAGAGGGCTACAGTGGAGGCTTCATGCTGGTAGCTAAATACTACATAAAGAATGAAAGCACGGCAGTACAGAACGGACTTAGAAACGACATCTCGAAGAGTCAATTCTACCAGCCATCAACACGCCAAGCTAAGCCCTACCTAAACAAGACTATTACAGTCAAATCTCGGGGACTCATCTGTATGGAGTATAAAAACCAAGAAGTTGAAGAATGGAACGAACTAGATGCCTCGTCACCTCGATGAGTAGAAAGAACCTGTCAGGAAAAATTGCTAAGTTGAGAAACAGATCAGCTTTCGAGATCAACTCAGGCTAGGAAAGGAATAACCTTGGAAGAATGAATAGCTGCGTTGGGTACTGAGATGACCGACCTTGATCGCGCAGTGATCAACAGAATACAATCTCAGACCTGCAGTCAATCGTGATCGGTGGTTACATCCTCGAGATCCTGCACATACCGCAGTATTCAATACATACGGCATGCGGCAGGCCTTGCAGACGGAAGAAGGAGCACCCACGGACTAGTAGGGCACTCCTCGGCGACAGAATAACCCGGCGCAGTCGCGTCGAACTGAATAGAAACTACGGAATGGCGCGATACTTGTAGGATAGTGACTCACCATTTGTATTAATTCCAAAGCTCGTACCATAATTACTGTAGATATGGGCTCCTATACCTAAAACACGAATCGTATAAATTAGCAGCGACTAGACGCATAATGGCAGGAAAGCATTCCCCCTGTGTTTGTGCTAGTAGCCTGTATAGCTACCTAATCAATCACTGGTTTTTATTGCATATCCTTGACTGAAGTGAATTAAGTTACCAAAGTCAACCCATAAGGGCGACTACAGTAATCTAGAAGAGTTAAGTAGGAAGTAGAGCCGTCCCCGTGTTTGCGCCTTGCTAGTTAATTGAACTGCTCCGCGGACAAAGGCCTCGTGTTCTCTCTCTCCGAGATTAGCGATCTAGATGTGCTGAGTCGACTTTAAATCAAAAGACCTCATCTAGTTGAAGTAAAATAAGCCCTAGAATGCTTTAAGTTCAAACAATCATCGAGTTCAAGGAACTCCAGAGTCTGTGTACTCTTTGCAAGTCTTGTACTTGAAGTCAGAACCTGAGCGTTCTTTGTAGAGTGATTTTGCACTCTTTGTAGACCTCGGAGTCTTTGGTTGTTTGATTATTTGAAGTGTCCGCTAGAAGTTCTTCTAGACGACGTCGAAACGAGCATAACTTGCTTGATTATACCTTACAAAACAAGTTCATAAAACCCCGCTATCGCGGACTAGTGTACTTTGTGTAAAACACCTCAAAAGAAGAATTGAAGTTGTTTTCAGGCAAAACCCCACTAGATTATCTAAATCTAAGTACATCGTGAGTGCTTCTATCATACTCACCCTCGAACTTATATACAGTGGTGATTGTGTGTGTGTGTGTGTGATTTAGTATCTAGATTGACGATCTAGACGCTTGTTTCATTTGCGCGCTGCCCGTTACCGAGCACATCAATGTGCCCTTGTAGGTACTATTCTTAGTACAAGTCTAACATGTATTTAAGCTAGCCTGCGCTGTGGCTTTAGACTCCAGCTTTGGCTAAGGTTATATACTCCTAACTCCTAACTCTTACAAGCTTCTTGCTTTTGCTAATAAGTGATGCCTAACTTCTCTCAATCTACCAATGCCTCTCTAACACTGAATCACCGAACATGAGTGACAGGATAGAGACCAGCCTTGGTTCAGATTAGAGTTAGTGCATAACAGGAGCCAAGACTCAGGACTCGGTTCAGCTGTTTACCAGCTCGACTCTATTGCACCTGCGATGCTAGCTTCATGTTCAAGAAGTCATCTTGCACATTGAACCCAGCCACCTGGGGAATTGCTTGAAAATTGGGTCACAAGTTACCTTCCTCGTGTTTTTACTTTGCTGATGCATCACACTGTATAGTTTGTTCCACTTCTGAGGATTAGTGCTGCCCATCACTGTCCAAGCACAATTAACCCTGCATCTATCCTTCTTGCCCACATTCTACCAACAACAAGTATGCTTTCTCACTTCATTGGACACTTGCTGAGGAAGTCTCCCTTTGGGT